TGTCCTAAAGGTTGATACGAAATCCCATGGAGATAAGAATCTCACCATCAAACATTTAGTTCTCCCTTTTAAAAAAAAATTAGATTATGCAATAGCAAAACACAAGGCTTTACTCCTTGACCCTTTTCTGGCCTATTAAGAAAAGAGGTGTTTACTAGATAAGAGACGTGGAGCCTCAAAATTATTACCTTAATATATGAGCTTTGGTCTTTGCAGTGCTGGTTGGTTTTGGTACCATGGCCAATTCTGTAAAATCATTGTTACAAAAGTCTATTAATATGTCCCTTTTTGTATAATGGCACAAAATGAAATTATAATTACTAATGCTGTCCATTTGCAAGAAACTCTTATGTTCCTCTCAGCTGTGCAGTAAAGCTTTCATTTTGTGACTTAAGGCACTTAAAGTGTCAACCAAAGGATAGACAGTATTTAAACGTACATTATTGAGTTCAGGTTGACTAGATACATCACAATAATAATTGAAGCTTGTTCTGTACTGTTCTTCAGAACATGTAACCAAGGAGTGACACGTGAAATGAATCTCTAGCAGTCTAAATGTGAAATAATTTTCTAGCAGAGCCCATCTACAAAGAGATTATTGGTTGTACCATGGTAATGGATAGGTAATTATCACATAGATCATTAATGCTTATGAAGCTTTGTAGGGAGACATATACTTTCTATAAAAAGTTTCTATATGGTTCCTATGTAATTACAGTAATAATACTTGTGCTTATGATGCCTTCAAAGTGCTTGGCAAACAATAAGCCTTTCTGAGAAGCAAGTAAGTACTGTTAGCCTCACATTACTGACAGCAAAACCAAAGTTCAGAGAGATAATAGACTTGGTATTTATGAATGCTGAATGAGAACTGATTAATTGAAGTCAACGGGAGTTAAAGGACTTTGCCTTCTGGCAGAAACTTTTCTAACTTAAGGCACTTATCCAAGTTCATAGATACTATTGGAGGTACTTGTCTTTGTGTTTCATGGTTTCATTCCTTGGTGTCAAGGAATAATTCTGGATATATGGAGTGGTTACCAAGTACCCCTAAGTATATTTCTGAGTATGTCTCTGAAGACAGACTATTTTGACTTACCAACCTTACAAACACCTGTCACTTCCCTGTCCCCATCCCCACCTGTGGTTCACGACACTTACTTAAGAAAGACAATGTAAAAGGCAGAGATGCTTGTATTCCATTTAATAAATATGAACTTTGAACATATGTTTCTTATCAACACTTACCACATTGTGCAGTGTTACAGTTTTGATAATGTGAATTTTGTATAGTTCAGGGAGTTTATTTTGTCATCTTCCATAATCTAACTACCAAGTATGTCTATGGTGGTATGTTTCTGATTTCTTCCTAGTAAAAAAGCACAGATGCTCTAAAAATTTTTTAGATTTCACCATGTGCAATAGCACTCTACAAACTAAGCCTAAGTAATGACCAATAAAGGATAAACAGAATGAGGTGAAATCACCCTTGTTATAACTGTATCAAAATGAGACAATATGTTTCAGACAATATGTTTTAGATGGTGCTATATACTAAAGCTGATTGGAAACTTTGAAGCAATTTTTTTTCAAATTAAAAATGTTTTTGATTACATTTCTGTGAAGTAATTTCTATTCTTTTACTTTTTTAAAGTTTACTGCAGAACATGGAAATAAGTGCTAGATCCAATTAAAGGATTAAGTATCTAAATCAGGTCTTGGTCTGAACTGTAGTGCATAAATCCCTAAGTGTTATGAAAGTATATTTCTGGTGCAATATATCTTGTACTCTTTGATGTTGAGTGACACACTTCTACGAGTTTTATGTGACTGCTCAGTGTATTCATAATTCAAAGTCCCCTTTCACATCCCTTCTACAGAAACTTTACTGGCTTCTAAATTCCAATTCTTGGAGGAAGCACTTACATCACTTACACGATCTAACTCTAAAACTTTTACTATACATGAGTAGTCCAGGAGACTAATAATGCAGTATTTTTTCCTCTTTGATCAGTGATCTGATTCCATTCTAGCAATCAAGCAGCACTGATATGTATCTTAAGTTATTTAAAAAACAGTTGATTGCTCAAGGAACATTTTTTTAGCATGGACAGATCAAGCAGCTGCAATTTTTTTGCTCAGTTGTGCTAGCAATGTAAATTGTAATTTTACATTGAAAGGAACTTCTTCAAGGAGATTATATTTATTCAAGAGAATGCAGGATCCCGTTTCTCACTGAACTGAATTCTCAATACAAGTGTGTTTCTTCCATTTTCCTGAGCTGCTAATGGGATACTTATAAGCATGAATTTCTTAGTGATGGGTGATAAATAAGTACAGCACATATCTAGACACTATGTTTTTCTTCCAACTTCTTCAAGTTGTTATACCAGTTCTTTATCCCAGATTCTTTTGAGTTTGAAAGATGTTACTAGAGTATTCGGTCCACTGCTGTTAGGATAAGAAATGACCCTCAAAGTGGTAGAACCTTCCAAACAACTGGAAACTGTGACTATTGTGCACATCACCATAACTCTACTGATCTCCATTACCGACTTATGATATGAATCAGGCCCTTTGTTTGCAAAAATTAGACCCTGAAGCAAAAAAACTTTCAACATGTGCATTTATTATTCTTAACATTTTCCACCTCTTTTTTAGGGAGTAAATCTTTATAAAGTGATGGAAGCTGGAAACTTCATCTGTACAGCTTTGAACAAGAAAACAAACTCAAAAGTTGCACAAGTTTCCTTCAATACTGGAACTATCAATTAGATGGATTTTGCAGCTTAATTACGTTTGTCATCTACCTTGACCAAGGACATTTATATCAAGAAAACAAATATAAGAAAACCATTTCAGCAAAGAACCAAAATAGAACTCATATATAACTTTTTATTTTGGGAAGAGTTACTCTACTGTACTGTCTTGTCAAGAATTGTCTGATTTGTTGGTAAGACATATGTGACTGTAGTACAGAACCCTATGCTTGGTACTTCTACAGATGAGAAAAATATATAAATGCCAGGACATTTTACCATGTTTTAAATTGAATTTTAGTTCTTTTCAGGAAAACTGAATAGAAGCAGCAAATGTATAGTTAATTTTTAATCAAGATGACTTTTAGAACAGTACAAATATTTGCAGTAGTTTATGAGATCCCACACTGTGTGTGGCCATTCTATTATGTGTTTTATTTATCTGAATCTTTACTTTTCATTTGTCAAGTCAGTTGTGTTATGAACATGGAGCCAAATCTGAATTCACCATAAGAATTTTTTAGCAATAGCACTTTTTTATTTCTGTTTTGTTTAACATCTGTTAAGTATATTGATGACTTTATCTTGTTCCAAGACTTTGTGGTGAATGGAAGTCTGCCAGATCCTCCAAATCTAATGCAAATTTCCTTATTTGTTACATATGTTAAATTTGTTGTAGTTGCTTTTTTTTGTCAACTGTATTAAAACCTAATTATATGAAGCAGTTAAAAATTGACAAGGTTTTCACCACCATTCAAGGTAGCAGAGGTGTAGAAGGGGCTAAATTATCATTCAAAGTCTCGTAGAAGATTTTTTTATTATTATTCTCTAGTCTATAAATTGACATTCTCACTTATAAGTCATGAATTTTTGAGGATAATAATATTCTGCTGGACTAGCTTACAATTTTTCTTTGTGCTCTACTGATAGTGAGACTGTACTTTTCAATGTCTTAGTTCAGGAAGATGCCAGTGAACTGCATTGTCATTTTTAGATTAATAATGGATGAATTCAAAGAAGAGCCTTATCCTATCTGCAAATTGTTCAAATGTGCCATGAAAATATTGTCATTTTTTCAGTCTGAAACATCAGTACTGTTACTGGTTGGTTGTGTAGGATCCTTCTGTAATTCTCTGTGTACTTAACCTTGATTTTTTCTGAAAATAGGCTGTTACCATGAAAGTCCAAAACCCTGGATCTTTTTCCATATTCTCCATTTTCCTCCAGAATGAAAGATTGGAAAAAGGTAAAATGAAAGAAAGTGAAAGATAACAAGTAAAGAAGGAATCATTTTTGTCTGGAACTCAGCTCTGCCAAGTTACAGCTGAGTCTCAGCTTGCCTTTGAAATTCCAGAGTGAACCTTTTCTGAGATCTTTTAGCCAGTACTGTAGTTTAGAATTGGCACAACAATTTGACTTAACAAAGTCAAACTTTGCATGCCAGATACCTCAAAGCTAAAAAACTTGATATAAAACCTCTATCCTCTTTATGCTGTAATGATAGTCAAAACCAATATAAACTACATCATTGTTTCACTCTTTTCACGATAAGAGTCAAAGAATAAGCAAATAAATGTTTTTAGGTGAGGCAGGAAATATCTTCTCATCAATCCAAAATACTAAATTGCACCCCTTCCTGCCGTACCTAGTGAGAAGGCTTTCAAGTACTCTTAAAGACACAAACACTCTGATTTGCTTGGCCTGCTCTGGATGGATAGTTGGATCACCACAGAAAATGCTCTGTCCTCATTTTCCCATGTTTTGGCTGGGGCTTTGTTATTTAGCAGCTACCACAGCTCATATATCAAAACACGAACTTTAATAAAACCGGGTCTTGAACCATTCACAGATTTAAAAATCTCATAATGGATTAGATCCAATGAAGAAATGAGGAATCTGCAGCAGTATTTCAGTTGTACTTAGTCTAATAATTAGTGATTAAGCCTAAATGAGGTGCCAGAATTGACATCCTAAAGATTCCCTAATTCAGACGCCATTTACCCCTGAAGGTAACCAACCACACTATAATACTTTCCTGTTTAACAATAAAATTTCCTCTTTAGTTTGCTTCTGTGCAGGCACAGAATTAGCTCATTTTGAGCTGAAGTGTGCAGTTCTCATGTAGTGAGATGAGTATTCTTCCATCCAAGACCCTGTGAGCATGTTTAACCGTCATGAGCAGGATTGAGCTTCTCACAGAGTGGAAGCAAAAAGTCACCTCTTGAAAAAAAAGTAGTTGTGATGCAAACCACCTTTTAAATAATAGCTTGAATGTTGGGCTAAACAACTGATCTGAGATTAACTTGCTACTCAGCCTGAGGAGATTCAAATGCCCATTTTTTGGTATGCTTATCAGTGGATCGAACCACCAGGCTATATACAGAACTTTCTAGAAAATCTGGATGAAATTGTGCCACTGGGTAGGATGGAATTCAAAATTACCGAGACCAGAAAGATCACAAGAAAAAAATGTCTCTGCAACAGATAAGAGGTTTTTTTTCCTTGAAGATGGTGGTGAGGGCTTCAACTATAGGTGAAGTTAGGAACTGAACTGATACTGTCCACTTTTTTAATAAGTATACTAACTATGACATCTTAGATAAAAGTGAGCCGTTTTGCTACTACCACAACTTTTGCATTAAATAAAATAGCTATGTAGAACATGGACTACAGAACAAAAGATCTAGCTCTGCTCAGTTCTTTGACAGTTCTAGATGTCTATGTTCCTAACTATCATGAAGGATTGCTAACTTTGGCACTATGAGACCCTTGCACTCTGGAGGAATTTTCAGATACGCCTCTGTGCGTAGTGCATTCCAGGTTTCTCAGTGTCTGGGCTGTCCAGTTTGCAGTTCCGAGGCTCTTAACAGTCCCTGTGCACTGAAACCAAGGTACCTGTGAAATCACGGGGATGAACAACCTAAAATGCCTTGGTTCTTTATTAGTTCTGTTTTAGAGACTACTTGGGAGCTTGTGGAGAGCCTTAAATGGAGGCCTGTTATTCTGTAATGATGTGAGCATTGGAAAAGATGAGCAGTCACATCTGGAGCCCGTGCTTTACCCGCACGTTCAGCTTCAATCGTATAGTGAGTTATAGTAATCCAGGGTGGAGGTCACAGACAAATGGATGGTTTGTCAGGATCGTTACGAGGGAGGAAGAAGCATAGAGCCAGATTAAAAAAAGCCCCAACGTTTATGTGCCAAATGTGCCACCTGGGATGAATTTAGGCCTGTGGGTCCAGGTGAGCAATCCCCACAAAATCCTTCTTTCCTTGTAGTGTGACTGGGAATCCTGAGGCATCTCATGTTCTCGCTACTAAAATCTGTTAGGCACGTAAAGTCCTGCTGCTCTGCTTTCCTGGGCTGGCATCATTTTGACTGTGTGGAGCATTTTTACACCTAATCTTTGGCTTCACAAAACAGGCATTGCCCTTAAGATCAAGGGCTAATCCAGTAGCCATCACTCACACAGGCAGCTTTGAGTTCAGCGCATAATAAAGCAGTTGAGACTACATCCCTTCAAAAACATGGCAAGAACTGTAAGTGATGTGATGGCGCTGCTGCTCTCCAGTGCTTCTGACCTTCTAAATCTTTATGCTTATATTCAGAGTGACCCACTGCTGGTGGTGCCTGCTCTTTTAGTCCCTGTCAGTGTCCCCCACTGAGTACATTGCTGTCACTTCACCCTGAAGTAACCCTCCGGATGCTGAAAGCTTGCATCCAGGTGTTTGGCTTCCATGAGCTGGTTTTCCTATTAATATGTTATTATAAAAATTATAT